TTATATATTTCAAATAATAAATAATAAAAAATATTTATGAATATTTATCATAAATATTGTGTGCTATCTGGGCAAGTTCTTCATCAGCACATTTTTCCCCCGAAAAAAATACATGCATATTCCCTTTCCAGTGTTTAGAAAAGAGTGAAACCTCGCTCGAGATATCGTTTCCTTTTTTATCTTCTACAGTGCCCGGAATTCTTATATATTAACGCCGAATGCGTTCGGCCGCAGCGTATATTTTTATCGTATCATGCCACGTAATCTCTAAGAAACTTTTTTGCTGCCGGCTCATGCGCATTGAGCGGCAATAGATTTTTTCAACTCTACGCTCCGCTATATGCCATGATTGCGTTAATTTACATTCTTCTGCTAGTCAATCGAACTTTGGTAACGGCCGTTTTACGGCCGAATCTTGTAACAGTAGTTAAACGCCACACGTTCTCTCGTTATACCACATAATGTGCGATTTATACATGTGCGTGTCCCTCTAGATTCTAGATATAGATGGACTGTTATTGCTTTAGAACAGGTGGATATAGTATTGAAATATATGACGGAAAATAAAGAAGCGAAAATAGTCGAATCGAAAGAAATTAATACGTGTTTGTATGAATAAATTATGTAATATGCTAAAATATATTATACAAATAAAAATTGCTTAATCTTGATAGGATATTAAAGTTCGGATATTGCATACAGAAGCGACATTCCGCGTCTTCAACTTTCACCTTAATCTATTCAATCTCTGCAATAAAATTATACTGCGAGAATTATTGATAACGACCGCGATGAAAACAACTCACGATAGGATCGGTTGTAACACATTGAGAGTTTGAATTGAACAATTAAGAGTTAATAGCTCTTCATCCATTCTTTTACTATACGTATGATACAGACGGAGAGAGAAGATTTACTTCGCCCAAGTTAGATCTGGACGTATACGTTTAAAACGTGTGTATGTATATTATGTAAAATAGACCCAACGAGAGAATTTTATTATCTACATAGGCGATGGCCTCATAATGGCCGTGTGCTCCCTCTTCTTGTCCCTTATTATCGAAGCGAGATCGTTACTCGAGAAACCATATGATTCAAGATTGAATTGAACGCGTCGTTGAAAGTTAATTCAACTTGACATTGAAACTCGATGCCGCGCGGCGCGATAACATGCCGTAGGATCGCGGAAAGAAAACGATTCCGTCGCTCTTCGGATCGCCGTCCCTGAGCAATCAATATGGCCTCCAGCCATCGCTCGCTCGCTCACTCACGGGGCACGCCAGCGCGGCCATCTTTCTCTCTCTCTCTCGCTCCACCGCGGGGAACTTGAGCGAGTGCGGTTGCCTCGCTCGGGCCGCGCCGGGATCATCGATGTCGATTCGGTTAGTCGTACGGCTCGGCTCGGGAATCCTTAATTAGCCGTGCGAAATAGTGAGGAACATTCAGAAAGAACCAACGACTAGAACAACGAGACGCGCGCGTGCGACAGGTCATTCGTTCTGCGGTGCCAGAGTGGGAGTGAGAGAGAGAAGGAACAGCGTCCCGCCATCGGTGGCGGAGGATCGACGAGTCCGCGTTGCCGATGAACGCGTCGTCGGGGTGAAATTGCACCGGAAAGCAGGGCGTTGCAAGATCGACGAAAGACGTCTGTGAAAGACAAGAAGAGAGAAAAAATATTCCACCCAAGGATATTCCAATATGTAGAGGAATACCTACCTACCGGTAACTAAGCATTGGAACAAGATGAGGTATGTCTCTGGATGTGCGCGGTGTTGCTCATTAAGGCAAACTTGTCATTCGTAGCAACAATTAATTGCGCGCAGGTATGGCCGACGTTGCGTCCGAGGGCGATAACGGGCTCGTCGTCACGACGGCTGAGGGTTGTCGAGCGCTGCCGATAACGCAGACTGGCAGCGAGGATGGTACGGCCGCTACCGACAACGGGGTTGTTGACGACAAAGTCAGTATCTACGAGATCCTCGAGGGCATGACAAACGAGTTCAACAAGGGCGTGAGTCCAGTGAAGTATAACGATAATGATAAAATGGGAACAGAAGAGGTGATAACGCCACTGTCACCGTCGCCGTCGAAAATTGTTGACGAAGTGCCCAAGGGAGAGAAGGAATGCGATGGCACTCCTGACAAAGAGGCTGTCGCAAGCTCTGAAGATGTAACGGTCTCTCAGATCACACCAGAGGAGAATCACAAAGATGAAGATGAAAGTTTGACGACGACAAACAAACAGGAGACTGTTAAGAAGGACAATGGTATACCTAGGATTGTCTTGACATTCAGGACTATTGATGAGAATACGGATCATGGCAAGAAGACCAAGATATCCAGCTGCTCGTCCAATCTTACTCTGGTCCCAGACGAATTGGCCAATTGCGATCAGATTGGCGGTGTCTCTGTAAAAATAGAGAACTCCGATGAGAATTCTGATGTGGTGGAGGAATCCCAAACAGAGGAATCCCAAGCAGGAGAGTCCCTGACAGAGGAGACAAAGAAGGAAGAATCTATGAAGATTGCAGAACCAAAAACTGTAGAGCAAGATAAAGCAAAAGATACAGAAGAGAAACACAACGATGACTCGCAATCTTCTATTCAAAAAAAGCCTGAAACTGTGGAGAATAATGTTGGGATCAATAATGTCGAGGCAAAGGTTGTAGAAGATACTGAGCAACAACAAACTACTGCACCAGTTACCAGAAAGAGAAGAATTGGACGACCTAGATTACGAGCATTGAGGTTTTTGCTTTTTTCTTACTTGCCATTTGTTAAATATTTACGCATGCAATATTTATAAAACAGTTTTCTTGATTTTCAGTGATTCGGTCCCTCAAGATGAGGAACCACCAGGTCCTAAGCGTTCGGCTAGGAGACTTTGTAAGGAATCTCTGAAAAGCACTGTACTGGAAAGCGCTATGGCGCGTAAAGAGAAGTCCAATTACACAGAGGAACACTTGCAGTTTAAAAAAAGGAAGTACAGCAAACCAGGTCGGCCCAAGAAGCTGGTTTCAGGCAAGGATCAGATAAAACAGACGCAAGTAAAGCCCTCTGATGTTCGTCAAGAAGCGGAGACGTCGTTATTGTCTGACGGTAATATTAGCACGTCTGAGAACTCGATGCTAGAGTCCTCATGCAATACTATACTATCGGAGAATATGAACGATAGCGTCGTAGAGGACACGCAGAATGCCGAAATTATCGCCGATGACGAGGAGCTCGGAATCACAAATCAAACTCGGCAATTCTATCGGCAGTCCCGGCAGCGACGATGTACCTTTGGCGGATATTCAGAAGCCTTTTTTGAAACCAGCAACTGCTAGTCGACCCAAGAGGGAGAGAGGACGTCCCCGCGGAAGCACTCAAGCCGCGCGAAAAATAGCGAAAGCGGATTCGTATGAAGGTGATGTAATGTCTATATATGTAACGATATTTTCCTGTTGTATGTAGCGATTTTTTAATTAAAATTATTAAATTACTTTTTTTTGTAGATGGTTCTCCATCCGTTGCAGAAGCGGGGAAGAATAACGATTACCCCGAAGGTAAAATATAGTCTAAAAATAAAATTGTACGTGCATGGTAAATGAAAGTAAATTGAATGAAATGAAATAAATTTGAATTAAAATATTTTTGCTATAAAATTTTATAGCGAAAATATTTTACATTCTTTGTTTCTACTTTTCCAGACTAAAAATAGCACATTGATAATATTTATGAGTTTTTGGTAATAACTAAATTTCTTTAAATATGGCAAGTGTGTGTGTGTGTGTGTGTGTGTTGCATGTAAAAATAGCTCTTATCCAAAAAGAATTTAACATAGATGTGTGTATGTATGTGTGTTATTCTTTTTTACTATATATATAAATTTAGAAACATCACCAGTGTACTGTGTTTTTATAATTAAATAGCTATATTTTTATTTAATAAGAATTTTATATAAACTTTAATATAGAGATCCCGGCCAAACGAACTCGCCGGAGTTGGCTGCCGAGCCCGAGTCCCGCGGAAGGACAAGCATCGAAGCCGGAATCTACCGCAATTATGAGTGAGGTCAGCATCATCTCATCTTATCCATTTTTTCTTTCGTCAATACAATAATACTAGGATTCTTATAATTTTTTCCATTTTAGACATATGCGCAATCCATGATATGCCTGTGCCAAGTACGATCTCAGTTATACGTGACGATAACCGGTTCCGGGGCGCCGCTGTACTGCACCGCGATAGACTCGATCGATAGTCGGATAGTGGGATGCTGCAACGAAGTGGACAGCAATGACGTGGCGATGCGGAGACCAAGCACTCGTGTACCTTTTATTATTCTCTGTCGCATGCACAAGGAACGGCTGCTGCGCCATAACTGCTGCCCTTCCTGCGGCCTGTTCTGTTCGCAAGGCAGATTTGTGCAGTGCACCAACGGCCACCAGTATCACCGCGATTGCGAGATCTATCCGAATAAAAAGGGAGTGTGTCCGCACTGCGGTAGCGAAACTGCCGCTTACGATGTGCTGGTGACGATGAATGGTATGCGACGGCCGGTATATATACCCACACGTAAGAAGTTTTCCAAATTGCCCTCAGCGAAAATGAGCTTGCCTGGCAAAGGCGACAATACAAAGTTGGCCGAACGTCCGCCCAGCCCGTTAATTAAGCCTGATATCATCAAAATACCCGAACCGTCGATTAATACTGAGAGACCGGAGCGTTACACCATTATGAGTCTTTACACGTCCGTGAAGCACGGAGATCTGGAAAAATTGGTGAATGTATTAGGTGAGTGAAATGTTGATGGAAAATAGTACATTTTTTTTTAGAATATCGGGGCAATGAAATTTGTGAAATAAAATTTCTAAGCTTGGAAATTGTAGAATCTATTCTTTCTATTCTTTTTTGTTTATTCAAAATCTTTCTTTAAATATATCTTTTATATTTAAAAGTTAAAATAAGCTAAACTAAGATTCAATATATAGTTTTTCAATTTAGATTCTATGCAAATTATATTTTTAATAAATGTTGAAAATATCTATATACTTTGATAGATTAATCATTATATTAATGTAATGTACGAATTTACGATTCCTAGCATGTGGTTACAATGCAAATCACACATTCCGGGATTATGTCTATCGGACTGGTCTGCACATAGCGGCGGATAAAGGCCATCTGTCATGTGTGCACGTTCTGGTTCAAGCGGGTGCTCAAGTAGATGTAATGGATAGGAATCAATTGACGCCATTGATGTTAGCCGCAAGTAGGGGTAATGCCGCCGTCGTAAAATATCTAGTTAGGACAGGCGCCGACGTGACATTGAAGGGCGAGGACGGCATGACCGCTTTGCACATGGCGGCCAAATGCGGCCATCTAGAAGTATGCAAGATCATTCTGACCGAATGTAAAGTGCCGAGAACGTTAGTAGGTAATGTCGAGTTCATATCTAGATAGAAACTCTTTTTTTTCCAAAAAAATATTTCTTTTCTTTTAAAAGTATTTCTGTAAATCAAATTCTAAAATATATATACATATTAGTAAACCATTTTTAAATAATAATACATGAAAATATATGAATATTGCGGATTTCCTTTAAAGAGATTAGAGTTCATGTCTTAAGCAAAATTTATATAAATAAAATAAATGCTTTATATTTGGCATTTTTATTTGCAGACTCTGTAGACGATGGCGGTTGGACAAGTTTAATCTGGGCATGTGAATTTTGCCATGCGGATGTCGCGCGGTATTTATTGGATAAAAAGTGCGATCCACTTATTCGAGATGCCGAGCAGAATATAGCGTTGCACTGGAGCGCGTATAGTGGCAGTCCTGAGATCACAGAAATGCTTCTTAATGAGGGATGTGACATAAATGCTGTCAATGTTCATGGTGATACTCCCTTGTACGTTCTGCATTTCTTTTTGGAAATTGTGCTTCTTACTGCATGAAACGAGTATAATAAAAAACGCATAAAAAACATTTGTTAGAACATTTGTTAGAATAATCAATTTATAAATAAATTGAATGAATTTTGTGAGATAATTCTTTTTAGTTATAAAATGATTTTCTTTTCTCTTAGACACATAGCAGCTAGACAGGATCAATATGCAGTCAGTGTTCTACTATTAGCGCGTGGTGCTAAAATAGGTGAGGTGAATGCTGCTGGTGAGACTGCTGTGAACTGTTGCACCACGGATGGTGATACTATGGCTGCTTTGAGATTGAATGCAAAAGTCAATGAACTTTCTGAACATATGTGGGAGAAAACGGTTAAAATATTGACAAAGTAAGTATACAATTTTATTAAATATTATATTATTTGTAGGAATAAATAAATGAGTAATAAATAAGTATATATAAATTATACTTTTATGACAATTGAATTGCTTTAATGGTTATTAATATAATTACGCTTATTAATTACGATTTTTTTGTTATATTATGCTTTCTGGTTGGAAATATTGCTTCTATTAATTTAGTTTTGAAATTTATAATCTTATTACATTATATATGTGTACATTGAATAGTAGCTTTATCTGCCTGATTTTTTGTTCTATATTAATTATTTTATCATTTCCATGTTTACAGTGACATTTCACGGGGAAAGGAAACAAATCCTATACAATGCGTTAACGGATATGATTCCGAAGATAAGCCAACTGATTTTCTTTATGTGACGGAAAATTGCTTTACTAGTAACATTAACGTAGATCGTACAATAACATCATTACAGTCTTGTCGTTGTGAGGACAATTGCAGCTCTGAAAAGTGCTTGTGTGGAAATATAAGTCTGCGATGTTGGTACAATGAGGAGGGGAAGCTCATACCTGAATTCAATTATGCAGGTATCTATTTATATTGTTAAATGGGAAAATTAGCAGATAATAAATTAATTTTATTAAAAAATAAATTTGTTAATAAAATTTGACAATAATAAGTTCACGCACCAATACCCGCGCCTTGGTTCTTATGTGCCAGTTTTCCAATTTAATTGTTAGTATTCTGAGCCTATTGCTGTTATTATTTATATTGTCATTTTTAAGAACAAAAAGAATGTTTTAAAATAATTAAGATATAGATATATAATAATTCAATCTGGGGAGAGGGGGAGGGGGTAGTAATTTACTCTATAAAAATGGATTTTTTTAAATTAGAATATTAACAAATAATATTCTTGTCATAGATCCACCAATGTTGTTTGAGTGTAACCCAGCTTGTGACTGTAACCGCATTACATGTAACAATCGTGTAATCCAGCATGGATTGACACAGAGATTCCAATTGTTCCGTACAAAGGGCAAGGGTTGGGGACTCCGAACTCTCCGACACATTCCTAAGGGCACTTACGTCTGCGAATATGTCGGCGAAATAATCTCCGATTCCGAAGCTGATCATCGCGAAGATGACTCCTACTTGTTTGATTTGGATAATAGAGTAAGTTATATACATTCTTTTTTTCACGATTTTGGCTTGGAAATGAGGAAAGTAGTTTATTTGCAAATACGTATAAATTATATCTTTTTCTGTAATTATTTTATAAATTTTAATATCTTTGTGTAGATACGTATAACTATGGATGCAAGAAAGCTTTCTTGATTATTCTTTCAAGATTTTGAACATGTTTTTCCGATAACAATCTTTTTGACAAATAAATTTAGTTATTTATATCTACGATTCTTTTCTTCACGCTATAGTTTTTACTTTTATACAGCATTAATTTATAAGTTATATTATTCTGGATTGTGAATCCAAGAATTTTATTTTACGTGCACAGGACGGAGAAACGTATTGTATAGATGCGAGACGTTATGGAAATATTGCTCGGTTCATCAATCACTCGTGCGCGCCAAATTTATTACCAGTACGAGTATTCGTCGAACATCAGGACTTGCACTTCCCGAGGATAGCATTCTTTGCCAACCGCGACATTGAAGCGGACGAAGAGCTCGGGTATGTTAAAAAACGGTTCAGGTCACTGAGACACAGGAAATTACTGAGACACATTTCTAAACATATCTAAACTAACAGAAACACATTATTACACACATAAATTTTCATTAATTTAACGTAATTTATTTAATTTTCATATATAATTTCAATAATTTAATTTTTATTAAGTTTAACGTTTGTTTTTCGTTCGATCCATGGCACGTAGTTATAGTTTCTTTTATCTTTGTTACTCTATTCTATTTCATTTCTTAATTTTTTTGTATTGTGACTAAATATATATTTCGACAGCACAAGAATATAATTCTCTTTAATAAATGTAGAAATGCGTAAATTGTTTATTAAATAAAGATATTTGATAATATATTGTTCCAATAATTCTTATATAATCTTTTAATTTGTGCAGATTACATTTCTTATTTAATTCTTTTACATTATTGTTTCTTTTCAGAAAGATAAAACAATTATGAAAAACAACTTTTCTTTTTCTCTACATTTTAAACATTTTTAAATAATTTAATATATAATTTTCTTTTATATTAAACATTTAATGCAATTCCTAACGCCCTCGCGCGCGCGCGGACACGTATGCGATTATTATACATATTTAATATCAATATATGATATGGATTAAGGTGACGGTACTTTCAATCACTCAATTTTAAAAACATTTATTTATCAATTACATCCTATTTTTAACGTTTTTTGCTAACTTCATACGAGAAATGAGTACGGATATGTTTGCTCGTAGCTTCGATTACGGCGAGAAATTCTGGATAATAAAGTGCAAGTCTTTCACGTGTACCTGTGGAGCCGAAAACTGCCGTTATTCCGAGAAAACTATACAAGTTACGCTGGATAACTATCGAAGAAGGATACAGCAGGAGGAAATATTGGCAGCTCAAACGTCATCGTAACCATAATGCGATTTAGTTTAATTTTTTAGGTACCCGCGATTTTTCACGAACACGACGACGACGACAACGACGTCGTAGATTCGTCCACGCGTTAATTTTCCGCATTTCGGTCGCGGAATTGTAAGAGTACAAATGAAAAACGGTGGTGGGATGATAAGCGTTTGATTAAGTTCTTTTCCGACGTTTACTTATATTGAATTATATATTTGGCTTTGCAGTCAATGTTTTGAAAGAATCACATTCGAGATCGTGTTACTATTTCTGCCGAATACCGAACGTTCGTGTCCTCATAAATGATATTGACGACCGGTCTATCAAGTGATTATTATATCTTTCGTTTTTTGAGTATTGATAAATTTTAAGAATATATAGTTTTAGGAAAAGCATTTGAATTATACAGTTGCAATTTGTGAAAATATATAAATATTAAAGAGAATAATAATAGCCAAGAGATATGAAAACATGTATGATAAATATTTATATGATGCTTGAAAAAGATTATATTTTTAGGAGTCAAAATACGTTTTAAATCTTCCTTGGCAGACCGGTAATTAATAACAATTTTTATGAATCACTTTTGATTTGACTCGAAAGGATAAAATAATTATCATACTTTCGATAAAATATTTTTCTCACGTTTTCTGCTATTGTTTCGAGTCAAATCTAAAGATAATTCTATTATTGCTCGTCCATATTTTTTCTCAGGCTCGCTTGTACTTGTTTCCTACTTTTGCCGATCTTCGTGAGAATGCAATGATTACAAGAAAATGTCGCGTCAATATTTTTTTCTTTTTTTTATGAGAACGATACGCATAATATATATATATATATATATTGATGATTAGTTTATGTGTGTGAGTTGCGAAAATATTATGTATGTTAAAAATGTTGTTATAGTCCTCTATTTGAACTGATTATGTGATTATGAGATGAATATTTGAAGCTATTGTTACTTTTAAGTGAATTGGGATAATTGCAGCGCGTGTTCGTGTGTTCCTTATTGTAGAAGCTATATATTAAATATTCCAATTAATCGCTCGTATCTCAAAGAGCGTTTAATGTTGGATTCACTGCAAACAATGTAATACATAAGAATACTTTTTTTTGTACAAACGATTGACTTTTTGTATAATAAAAGTTATAATCCTTTTTAACATGTGTGAGTTTGCTTTATATATCAATCCTTACGAACATATCAGAAGAATCTAATGAAAATAAAAGCAAAAGAAAAATTATAAAAAAAAACAATCAGAAAAGAGATTGAATCTCAAGAGCTTTTGAATTTTCTTAATAAATATTTTAGAAAGAAACATTTTTTTGATAGATAATATTTTTAAGCACATTTTAAAATCTAATATATTCTAAAGAAAATTAAATATGTGTAATTTGAGAAATAACGCTAGAAGTATCTTTTGATTGTTTCTTTACTAAAACGCTTATATGATATTTAACTTTATTTTAATAAACAAATAATTGTATGTGTTATTTATGTATACACATATTTTCATAATTATTTATAATTATAGAAAAATATTCACATATAAAAGATAGTATAAACTATATATTTGAAATGTAAATTGATCTCTGTTTAATATGTTTTATTCTTTATTGTTATATTTTTGTATTATTTTATTCTTTAATTGCATAAATAAAATCAAGTATGCTAACAGTACATTCAGAAATAAGATAAAATTCGATATTCCTGAATTTCCATGAATTGAATTTCATTTCACTAATTTTAGTTCGTTTATTAAATTTTTTTTTTTAGAACGGACGAGCTCTTATATGTGATATGAAACGAATGTGTATATATTATTATACTTTAGTAAAAATTATATATTTGATCGAAATATTTATATTATAGAAATGCGACGTGTAAATCGTAAAATCATATAAACTCGCGACGGCATATAAAGTTGCGTGATGGTTTCATATATCGAATCTTTCGAAAGATCATGTTCGCTTATCTTCGCTCAATCGTCAACCCCGCCGACGCCGTGAGGAGATAGAGTAAATGAGATATATCCTTTAGCTGGTCATCATACTCATCATACTCATCATCATACATAATCGCCCGTCGATGATCACTCCCCAGCATTGTAATCAACACTATTGCATACTTACTAAATCAACTGCATCGCGAAATATCATCGAACGGCATTTTTTCGACGCGAAGACCGGCGAGAAAGCGCGCGCGACGAGAAAGGGAAATGAAACGAGCGGGATTCTAAAGCGCGTGCAAATAATCACGAATATGTGACGATGATCGTATTTAAATTATTAAGAACGTCGCAGACGCGCACGTCACAGATGAAAAAAATACTTATGCTTATTCTACGCGGTAACACGACATTGCGTCTTCAAGCGCGCTCCACGATCGTTACACTGCGACTCTCGTTTGAATTTTAAATCAATGCGCGTGCGCGTCTATTGGTCAATCAGCGGCCGGCGCTCCGTTGGCCGCGGGTCAGTCATTACGCAGACGCGACGCTTCCCGCCGCATAAAAGGTGATTTTATGGTTGCGGTCGGGAAGACGCTAGAAATGCTTCAAAGCGTTTGATTGACCAATCAGAACAAAAAGAGTAAAGATTTATTTATTCTGATTGGTTAATGCAATGCTTCGAAGTATTTCTAGTGTCTTCCAGACCGCAGCCTACATGGCAACATTGAACGTTAAGCGTCTGCGCAGAATATTGTTGCCAAGAATTCTATTTTTATTTCATTTATTTTATTATATAATAGATGTGTGTGTTATTATTATTATTATTAATTAAAAATATATTATAAAACATCACTATTCTGGCAATGTAAATTGAAATAAAATTAAAATAGAAAAGCAGCAAGAGATTTTCGATGGCTGAAATATTCAAATAAATAAGACACAGAAACAGATTCCCAAATAACAAAATGACACAGTTTGAAAAACTATTATTAATAGTAGAAAATGATTTAAAGAATCAGTATGTTGTAAACATGCAGAAAAAAAATTATGAAAATTATATCCTTTAATTCTTGATTAGATATACTAATATTCTGCCGGAGGATAGTGACGTTCTATAATATATTTTATTTAATAATAAAAATATTTATTGTGTATTAACATGAATAAAAATCAATTTTCAGTATTAATAATGTATATCAGAACATAATCTTTTTTATCTCGACCGAATTCATGTGACTCATCATGCTATTATCCGCAAGAAACTGTAGCGGGATTCAGTAATTTGTTATCGACAGTTTTCGGTATCGTTAACTAGCGACAGCCAATGGCAAGGACAATTCTGGTGAAAAGCGCAATTCTCATAGGCTCGCTAACGACAACGATAATCGTCGCTAAGATGTTTAGAGAATCCTGCTACTGGAATCTGGAATCTATTTTGTTGAGAATCCTACGCAATGGTTTCTGCGCAGACGCTTGACGCTCAATGCTACCATGTAATTAATGGCAGCTAAAAGTGTACTACTTCATTCTTTTCAAAAGCGCAATGTGCCGACATTTTTTTCTATAGCTAAAAGATGCTATAGTTTTAATTTCTTTTACCGTTACATATGTAATCTTAATTCTGGATTAATATATTCACAAGATATTCATTTAGAAGTGGTAAAAGCAATTTGTACGTATTACACAGCGGGAAACGACGCGCTTGCGCAGTGACTAGCCCGCGGCGGCGCGTGCTGGCTGCTGATTGGCCAATAAGCATGTAGTGACTCGAAGTTCAAGTAGAAGTGTTCGCCGCAGTTAGTGTAATAATTGTAGAGCTTGGAAGTGCAACGTCGTGTACCCCCGTACAATTATCGCAAGTATCTTTAGTTTATTTGATACGCATCCGTGACATTTTTTATCGTAATTTACATTATTTACTTGTACTTTAGTGTCGACTTTTCGTTCCCATCTTACGCGCTTGTTTCTCGCTGAGAGAGTTATCGATCGCCAACGGTAACATGTCGCGGAGCGGTCAATTCAGTGAGTATGCAACAATATTGTTTACGTTGCTAAGAGCGATCATCGACGGACGATTAATATAACGATCAGTGTACAAATGTATCTCTGTCTTTCACGGCCGAATTAAGCGGATAGCAGAAAGTAAGTGAACGCGATCTTTCAGAAGATTTGATATATCGAATCGTCGCGACAATGTCCTTCGACTTGCCATCGCGAAACAAAGTATGTCTAGCCTTATTTTTGAGGCGAGTAAAATAATTTTCTTATAATTTTCCAACAATTCTAGAAACATATAATCCAGATTTATAAATAGATATATGAAATATGCATTTAGTAATATCAGAAGAAGTTCAAGATGTAGCATAATGGCGGTCGAAAAAGATCGCCACGAGTCGCGCTTTTAAAAAGAGTGAAGTAGTGAACGTATTATGCACGGCGGGAAGCGGCGCATCTGCGCAGTGATCTTTCCGCGGTCAACGGCGCGCCGGCCGCTGATTGGTTGGCGCACGCGCGCTGACTCGAAAATTCAAGCGGGAGTCGCAGTTAGTGTAGCGATCGTGGAGCGCGCTTGAAGGCGCGACGCCGTGTAGCCGCGTAGAATTATCGTAGGTATCTTTCTTTTTTCACCTGGCGCGCGCGCGTCCGCGTTCGTTCTTTATAGTTTAAATGCGACGACCGCGACGTGTTCGTGATTATTTGCACGCGCTTTAGAGCCCCGCTCGTTTCGTTTTCCCGTTCTCGTGACGCGCGCTTACTTCTCGCCGGTCTTCGCGCCGGGAAAGTGCCGATCGCCGACGATGATATGTCGCGACGCGGTCGATTCAGTGAGTATGCAATAGTGTTGATTATGGTGCTGGAGGCAATCATCGACGGGCGATTAGTATGACGACCAGCTGACGGATGTACCTCTGTTCTACCTCCTCCTCACGGCGTCGGCGGGTTTGACGATTGAGCGGACAGTGGAAGGTAAATGCATGTGATCTTTCGAAAGATTTGATATATCGAATATCTTATTTCGCTTATTTTTCTATAATATAAATATTTCAATCAATTATGTGATTTGTATATATTATAATAATGTAGAAACAATTGTGTGTGTATTTCACACTCGAGGACTCTGTAATTACTGTAAGCAATTCTTTTTGATCGATCACATTTTTCTGTTTTCGAAATTATCAAGTTATTAACTAAAAATTTCAGAAGTTCAATTATCAAAATCATCCGAGATTATCTGCTATCGAGATTCATTCTGTTTTATCTGGATCTTTTACATATTATACAATCACATAATTATATATCCCATAAAAGAAAACTTGTTTTGATTTTTTTATTTATATTTTTTATGCTCCATTTATTTAGAGTACTGTAGAACATTTGCTGCTTGCAGAGAAATTCAACTCTTTTTGCTTGATCCTATTCTGTCAATTACTCTTCTTTCTAGGGACGTTTGTTAATTACGGAGATAAGTATTAGACGAAAGCGAAATTCTTTTGTTCGGACAATATTGCTTGGAGGAAGAAAACTGGTAGCTTTTGTCGTGTGTACAATGACAAGAGCTTTCGCGAGAGTTGATTTCGAGATTTGATGCGGGAGTAGAAGAAAAACTTTTTGAAACACAAGTGAAAACTCATGACTTATAAGCTCTTACATCGAGGAAATAAAAAAAAAAGCTTAATTCAATATTTTGCAGATTGGCATATATTATAAAAAAGATGTTTTATGAATATTTTATCTCAAACTTATATCAAATTTTATATTAAATTATTCTGATTATTAACTGTAAATTTTTTATGTGCATAATTTAGCTAATATTAACCAAATTCATTTTTATAATATAATAAACGCGAATGTATCTAATATTACAGAATTACGAGTCAGACGTTTGGTTAATTATATGGCAAACTATAATCAGCATATTTTGCTTACTCAGCTATTGTTCGCGTTCAAATGATTTTTTATATTACAATACTCGTGACTGACATTTTTATCTATTGTTCGCGACGGATTTATTTCGCCGCTTCTCTTTACTGGTTTAATTCGGCATTAAGAGTTCGTTAAAGTAATTTCGTACTTTTTGAACACAGATTCTATTTATTTATAAGCTAGTTATTAATTAAAAATTTCAGAAGTTTAGTTATCAGAATCTTTTTTATGAAACGAAAGACAGTTTGCAGAGACAGCCATCGTAAAATTTCTAATTACACAGCTAT